TGTTATAGTTGTTTGATTTTGGTATCTCAAATTTGAAATTTCTATGTTTGGCTCTTCTGTTTGCTGACAATCGTCCATCCATTCTTCTTACAATTGATGTTTTGTTTTCTGCTTTCCTTCATTACCTTCTGTAGGAATTCTTGTAGTTTACTTTCTGTGTCTGCGATGAACACTGCGCCATTTCCGTGTGTCTTATGATGTATTCTACCATTTATCGATGACATCATTTTTGATAAGAAGGACGACATCGATCATTAGGAAGACATCTACGCTGATGACATTGTTACAACTGCCATGATGTCTATGTTTGACTACATTGTCAGCTGAATAGTGCAAAATATGCCACCGAAAAATTTAATCTCTAAATTTTAGTCCTCAAACTTTTAGCATTAAAACTTCTGAAAAATGAATGCGTATTGTCGGAAAATAATGACGATGCTCTTTCCCCATCTTTCTAACGATAAGTGTAATGCTAGATTTTTCAAAAATAAAGTACAGGCAAAAATACGAGAAACGCTCCGAAAATAATGTTCCCCATTTATTTTCATGGAAGCGACAACAGATACTGGGACATATTTTTGCCTATGCATTTTTTGCCAGTGATAAATATTTCGTGTGCCCACAATTGTGCAAATTCAGCAAGTGTTGATGAATGTGAACGGGGTGAAATTATTCCCTCGCTAAGGAATTCCGTGATACACTGCCTGCTTCGTAGGCGCTTTTATCTCAAACACCATTTTGCAAGTTTTCACTTCACCTATAACAAGGCAGAATTGTATGTTCAGCCTTACGATTTTACTCATAAATGTCTCTGATGTCGTGGATCAGCAACGAATAAAAACCATTTCTTTCTGAGTGTCTCTCGCATATATAATAAATTAATTAAAAGAATGTAATCGCATATGCCTACCGGAAGTGAATTGATTAAACATAACGGTAAAGAGAGATGAGACTTTGTTAGACAATCTTTCATTGTTCAAGTGAAATATTTGCTTTCATTAAATATTCTTAATCATCCGCTTTCGGCGAAAGAATCATAAGATTTCTAGCAGAAAAAGGGACCCCAGATAATTCGGATAGAGAATTGAATTTCCACGTACGTGTATACGTGTATAAAGTGTCGTAAACAGGACATTATAGTTATTTACATTAGGATTGATTGACTTGATCTGATATTTTTTTCTGCGAGCTTTTGGCAACGAGGCATTCTCTTTTGCATAGGTTAAGTCAAATGCCAGATTAGATGCTTGTTTCGTGTATATATATATATATATATATATATATATATATATATATAGAGAGAGAGAGAGAGAGAGAAAGAGAGAGATTATTTCGTATAGGAAACGGTAAAATTTCCCTTTCTCTCTGCCGATCTTAGGGGTAGGATCTCTGACTTCTGCCAGATCGGTCGAGTTTCGATCCCGGCTTGAAGCAATCGGACATCTAGTCACACTGAAGAGCAGTGATACAGTGAAATAGTCTGTCTGTGGATGAATATATATATCCGTCCTGGGTATGACGATAAACTACGTCCAACAGCAAGGCCTCTGATCAGGAGGTTTTGAGGAGCGTGGGACCACCTCTTAATTACTGGTGTTCTAAGGTCCACCCTGACCCAGGGTGGTAGCACCTGTTAGGGTCCCAGCTATGTGCAAATAGTTAACCCCGCAACTGTGGTAAAAACACTATGAAAGGGTAAAATTAGGTTTTAATACCAGAAATACTTCGTAAAAAATTATTACCTGCAATTCATTTTTGTAGGAAAAAAAACTATTTCCAGCAATAAACTTTTGAAGGAAAAATATTACCAGAAATAGATTTTTGACAAAAACAAAATATTACGGGCAAAATAAATGTTGTCGGCATTAAATAAAACACATTGCTGTTGATATGCCGTAAAACAAACCAAGCCAAATCAAATATATATATATATATATATATATATATATATATATATATATATTATCCCTCATCAATTGCATGACACGTAGTTTCATACACAACGCAATCTTCAGGTGCTGAGTATAGACTGACCGTTACGTAATTTAAATTAACTGGTTGAAGCAATGGCGACGCAATTATATATTATACTGAGATTACAGCATTTTTTTAATTTTAAAAATTTTATGTTAAATTTTATTTTGGTTCCACTGAAATTTCTACCATCACCAAATAACTTTAAACAATATAAGATACAAAAACAGCATTGCTTTCTTTAAATATTTCTGCCAATTAAAGAATGGATGTTAAAATATCTTTTGTCACCTGGGATATTATATCAAATCTTCTAACAGAAAAGGAAATAGATGTAACATATATCTTTTTGAAAAAAAAAACCAGAGAAATAAATTGATGGTTACATGTAGGCATAAAAATAAATATCTGCTTAAATACGTTGATTCAGATTTATTTTTAATGTAAATTGTTTTTTTAAGAAAAAGTAATCTCCCTTTGTGCTTAAGACAAAAAAAATAGTGTAACTTCTGACCTAATATAAATAGGGTTAAATAGATTCATGCCTTTCTTAAAGAGATTAAAACAAAGTCACCACAAACTACTTCGACCGGCTTTTGAATGCCTTTCTTGCGATGCTGTT